CCAAGTGATGTGGTCACATACTAATCAAAAGCCGGCTGCTGCCTTGTTTCTGTTCCGGCCAGCGCTATCCTAGAAGATACCTGTCATCTCGATCGCCAAGGTACGTTGTTCATTGAAGACCTTTTGCGAGGGGCTGGTGTGCTTGGTAGCGGAGCACAGCCCGTGCCTTTACCAGAATGAGCAGCGTTGCGAGTCACGCCACCGGCTCCTTGCCTGAGAAAAAGCTCGGGGAGGTGGAGAACTCACTCCCCCGTTGCTATCTCCGGGACGCATCTAGAATTTCGATGAAGATCATTTGCCAGGCCATGCACAAGACTTTGGGCGACAGGATCAGAGCCGCCGGTGGCCCAGGGGACGGCAACATCTTTCCTCTTCCCCTTTCTCTCGAATGAGATGTTCCCGAGATGCAATTAAAGCCATGAGCGAGAGCACACCAATGAGCTTGAATGCATTGCCCAACTCGCGCTCGTTTTCCCTGGGCCGTCAAATCCCCCATTCAAGCATGAACTGCCTGTTTGTCACCTGGGATTAATCAATGTTACGTACCTGTCATATCACTCCGCGGCGCATGGGCCTTTGGCTCAGATCAGAACGGAGTCTGGAACCTGATGCACGCAGCTGTGCCTTGTCCCTCGAAGAGGCAGATCCACGATCTGCAGTGACAGCCTGCAATACCTATGTCAGTCGGATGCAATGACAATGATCTAATGATTTGCAAACGATTGGCGGTTTGCAGGGGGGCGGAAAGTTGGTCGCTGCCAAGGCGGACCACGACTGCGCGAGTCAACCAATCGATTTCATCACCACATCACGCAGTGAGTGCATCACGACCCCCACAAGACAGCGGTTTTTTCTCTCTCCTATCATTACACAGTAACGGTCGGGTTGAGCCGACCTCTGGAGCTGCGCACGGGGCAGATCCGACTTGCCCAGAAATACCTCATCGCTTAATCATAGCAACCGCCAGGAAGGTAGGGGGGGGGGGGGGGGGCTCGACGAAAATCCCTTCTCACGATGCTAGTCACTTCCGCGGCGCTCCGCGGCGCTTCACGGCACACCGCGATTTGACATGCCGCCGACCCCGAACGTCTTCCGACCCAAGCCCGCACGCCCCATAGACGCCCCACCAATGCCCCGGACACGCCCCGGACACGCCATCCATGCTTGAACGAGAGTGTCCCCCTGGGACGTAAGGGTATTCGCCTGCGGCGGTCGGCGCTTCTCTTCCGGTTGGGCAGGGGAGGGGTGCATAAAGCAAGCCGGGTCGATATCAGGAGAGTGTTTTGCGATGGGTCCCGATCAGTCATCCGCCGTCACGGAGGAGCGGATGGCTCCACTTTGCAAAGTGCCGATGTTTTCGCCGGTCGTCTCTCGGCGTCTGGTACCGGCAAGGCCACCGGATCCCCTACTTCGGTAGCATTTGGGCCGTCGACATGGCAGACTTCCCTTGCGTCAGATGCGGGCTTGTCACTGGTCCAGGCAGCTCGTAACGTATTCACTCTTCAGGAGACATGCTGGCTAATGATAATCTCGCCCGACCAACACAACCGTTTCACCCTGCGGAGGCCTATGCCATACACAGCGAGCAGATGACCTCTCCTCATGTGATAGTCAGGCAATACCCTCTCAAGGTATAGCGGAGAGCCTCTATACCTCCCGTTCATCAACGCTTTACCGGGGCATTTCTGCTTACACACCATGGCCGCGTATGCAATCAAGGTTGTGTCAAGGCTGCGTCCGTCGGCTCCCTAATTATCACCCGGCGAAGGACCCTTGATTTGTTTGCTAGCCACTGAGAGCGGCTGTATCACATGTGTGTTGGGCCCCAGTTATGAATAAGCTTTCTCCTCCGCCCCCCCCGGACCCGGCATTCAGTTGACCCAACCAGATTGGTGAGTGAGGACGCGCCGCCGATGGCAGCCCATTTTGGCAATTATGTTTTTTCGCTTTGCTACGGGGGAAGGGGAGCGTGTTCCCCTTCCTTTGACGAGGCTTGGCCGCGGAACGGTCAGCTTACGTTCAGGCGCGCAGAGACCATGGGGTTCCGCGGACGGCCGAAGGAAATGGCCGAATCCCCGTTCCCCTCTGGTGGGACAACTCTAAAAATGAAAACTATACCCTTTGGCGACCGTTTGCTTCCTATTTGGGGGGGGGGGGGGGGGGTTGTGTTTCAAGATTGCCGAAAGTTGGTTCGACAACGTTTGAAAGGTTCGTCGCAATTTCTTTCCACCTTCAAAAGGGATAAGGGACCTGAACTATGCCCGGGGCGTCCGTGCTCCAACGGTCCAAGTAACCGTCATGTCGTGTAAGTAGGAGGGGGCATGAACCGTTCGGGTAGGTAACCCTCAAACACGACCACGGCCAAAAACAAACGTTCGTCGTAACTTTATGCTTTGTACAGAAAGTACACGGAATATTACTTGGTTTGCACCGTTCGCCAATGTACCCAAAAAGTCGTTCCCCCCTCCCTCCCCGTTCCGCGGTCCCGTCCCCTCGTTCCGTACCCTCACGCCTCGAAACAGATACCATGTTTGGGCCTGGTTCGCGGCTGACTCGCAAAACAAGCCCCCTTTGCGAGTGTCCTCGATATGTGCCAAGTCCACCAGTGGGTGCGGGGTTTGAGTTGAACCCCCCCGCGCTTGTTGTCGACCGCCATGTCGCTTAGCCTTTCCGCTGCGGGTTGTTCTGACCCCTGGACGGCGGCGTGCGTTTGCGATGCGGCGGAACAGGTAGAGACTCGGCCGTTTCTCAAACGATGAATGAGCCGGCGGGGTGCCAACCTGTGTGGTGAAGCTAGTTCTTGTCCTCGCATGGCAGGTGTACGTGCAGCAAACCGCTTTCAGCAGGCTTCTGAGAGAATATCGGGAAGGCCGAGAGGTATCTCCCGCTATCCAGTTGCCTATTGGACAAGTCGAAGCAGCCGGGGTACGGTCATGGTCTTCTTATCGGTACTTCCAATTCTGTGCCATCACCGCAGACAGGGGATGTGACTTGGCATATCCACGAACGGACCGTTGGCGAGGTGTTCAAACCCGCGGAAAGGATCACTCCGTTTGGATGGGCATCGGCGGGACCAGTTACTCTGTGCGGCCATCTGCAGGGTGGTCAATTGAGCATACGAGTCCTGTGGGGAAAGGGTTGCGAGAAAGATGTGCAAGAAAAAGCGTGCGGAGGTCGTAAGAAACTGTATATGTGAACCGAGTGTGCAATCAATCACGAGAGTCTCGCAACTGAAGCAATCGGGATGCTTTGACGGTGTACATTACTGTATATTTGATGAGCGACTTGATGCTTTCTGTGCTCTGGGTTTCTCCCTCCTATATTGTTGCTGCGCAGGGAACCAAAAATATAATGCTCCGTACTCTTTTGATTTTGAAGACATGATGCTGAACTCTGTATATCTGTGTGTGATTCGTAGTGATGCTAGCTCAGACTCGTCGATCACGGCGATCGATGTACACGTTTGATATGACTACTCAGGGGCTACAATCCTAAGCTCGCATGACACAGAAAGAGACAAGGCCTGAACATGTCAGTGTAGAACATAAATATAGGTTGGCAATCTTCCGTGGCCGAGGGAGTCAAATTGACAGATGTTCGCCAGAGTACGCTCACACGCGGTGAAGTCATTCCAGCTCCTTTCCAAGACGTTCCCGCCTAAAACACTACGCTTATGATAAAGGAGGCCAGAACGCGATGAACAAGAAGCAGCATGCAGTTTCGCAAAAATAAAATACCAATGACACCCAAAAGTCAAAAGAGTTCACTCCCCGGTGGGAGCTACATCTCTGGTGCACATGCTGGGAAGTCATCGCTAGCCTGTCGTCGAGTAGGCTGTCCGGTGCGGTAATTTTTCGATCGAATCGGGTGGGTTTCGAACCATCGACCTTGGCGAGTGCCTCGAAATCACAGTTTGACCTGAACCCCCTCGCCGAGAGGGCCGCCTTCTGTGTTGGCGAAAACCAGAGGAGGGCTTTTGGGTCAAGTAGGGCCTCGCGCGCCTCTTGGAGGCCTTCAGGGTGCGCGGGAATGGTTCGCGGACCGTGTCGAGGCATCAGAGGAAGGAGCGCGGGTGGTTCGCGCCCGCGTGTTGTGCTTTCATCCCGTCTTCCTCCTCCTCGAGTCCCGGGACGTGAAGGTGGGGCGCGATTGTTGACGACCGTCTCCACAGCAACGGCGGCGAAAGGTGATAAATAAAGCCTAGGGCCCTATTACCCCACGTGACGACCTTTTCGAGGGTGGTTAACCGGTTATACGTACCACGGGTGGTTGATGAGTGGCGGTGCTCAGATCGACCTGACCCGAGGTGAGTAGCCAACCACCCATGGTTCCACCTTCCACCTCCTATTGAGTCTGATTCTCGGAGGTCTACTACTGGCGCAAGTGAACGGCGAAGTCGTCAATGTCTCGTGGTGTAAGAATGCGAGAGCGTTACAAGCACGAAGCAGTACACATTGTCCATCTATGACCAGCTCCGCGAAGCATCGATATGACTGACGTATTGCTCGAGTGTATTATCCTACTGAATGGGATTGCTTGACGGGCACCAAATCCATAAGCTGCGCTGTTTATGCTATTGGACAACCTGGCACCCTCCACAAGGCAAGGCTGTTACAGGCACATAGATGCAACAGCTGTACAAATATAGAAACATTCATTTCCATTCATCGCGCCCGGCCGTAACTACACTAGATCATAAGTAAAGACTGTGGTCATCTCCCATCAGAGACGTCTCATCATCAAAAAAACGTTACACACAAGGTATCCAGCCTTATTAACATCCATTCGTCCAAATGCTCCTGGTCATCAAGGAATGACGTTGAAATAGAAACGAAACCTTGACCCCTCATTTGACACCAAATCATTAGCCCCTTATTTCTCACGCGTCATTTTTTTGCAAATCCTGTTTGTTAAAATGCACAAACAAAGGAAAGGGGGATAAGGTATACAGGTTCAAGGTTAATGAGATTGACAGCTCCAGTCCGGCGGTGTCAAATCCCTTACATCAAGCCGACGACAGCGACGACTGCGCCCAAGGCAGCGCCGGCGACCTTGACAGCGCGGTTGGAGTCGCCACCAGCGGCAGCGTTCTGCGAGCCGGAGCCGGACGAGCCCGTCTCCTGGGCCGCCAACGCGCCAGTGAAGGTCGTGAACAGCGTGCTGCTGCCCGAGACGGCCTGGGCGACGGTGGCGGGTCCCGTGATGGCGACGCCGTTGACGGTGCGGGTGACTGTGACGGTCTCAGTCTTGTAGGCCCAGCCGGGGCCCATGCCGCCCCACGCGCCGCCGGGGCCCCACCAGCCGTCGACGGGGCATCCCGTGATCGTGACGGCAGCATCCGTCTTGGATGCGCCGCCCCACCAGCCGCCGCTGTAAGTGAAGGTACTCGTGCTCTCGCAGGACGTGAAGGCGTTGCACACGGACGACGAGACGGAGGTGTACGACGCCAGTGCCGCCGTGTCGGTGGTGCAGGCGGAGCGGACGCAGTCGTTCAGCACCGGCGCATCGGTGCAGAAAGCTTGGGGGGTAGGGGTGGCGGTCGCGAAGTGGGAGGAGAAGCAAGAGCTCTGTAGGTGGAGTATGTGTCAGCTTGTCTGAACCCGAATGTTGGAGGCGGGGCAACGATGGCGGCGGGGCGTGCGGGGGAGATCTCGCGTGAGGGGACCCCAACAACAAGATGGGACCAAAAGTTGCGATGACAGGAAGAAAAGTCAAAAACATGAGACTTACAGCGCACTGAGCAACACCCCGACCGAACCCGCCGGGGCCAAAACCGCCCCATCCACCGCCATATCCGAATCCACCGAAACCGGCACCGTTGCCGGGGCCCCAGTTTCCATTGCCCGGTCCGTTGGGGGCGGCGACGGCAGCGGCGCCCTGGGCAAGGGCAGCAGCGATGATAGTGGCCTTCATTTTGATGGGGTTTCGCTTTGGTTTTTGCTTGTTGGTTGCGATAGTGAAGATCGTTGGTGAACAACGAAATGAGGCTTGTGGGTGAGTGTTTGTTTGCGACGAAGATAGGATGCGTCCCGAACAGGTGTATCAAAGCAGTAGTCAAACACCAGACGACACAGAGCTCGAATGGCTTCTCTTTATATTCTGCGAGCGACATGGCCGCCTCCTCGCCTCAGACACACACACGCCCCTCCGCCCACTGACGTCTATGGCAATCTTACTCCTGCAGACTGGGGTGGGAAGCCAGAGCTTCGGTCCCGAAAAGACGCATGGCAAAAAGCAATGACATGGTGTCTTGGTCGCTCCCTCGTCTCCTTGGTGAAGGGAACCGCCGGCCGGCTCACGGACACTCGCGTGGAACTCTTTGAACTCTTTGCGGATCCTCTCGGGTAGCCAGGCCGCTGGTTCGGTACGACGCTCGAGAGCCTCTTCGTCCCTTCCTGCATCCCTCTCGCAGCCTGTCTGCTTACCATTTCAGCACAGCGCATCGTGCAGCCCGCCCTGTCCTTCCACCCCCTAGCATCAAAGCCAGGGCGCAGCCCTGCATATCGCCGCCTATGGGCTGCGTGACAAGAAAATAGGGGAAGAGAGAATAGATAGCGCCGATCGAGAACTTCGCTCAGAGGTGGCCAACTCTTCGCTTACAGCAGTCAGATAAGACCGAGTGGCTCGTCGGCATTGCATGCTTACCTTAGCCCAACGGGGACGCGTAAACAAGACAGTTAGTTCGGTTGGTGGTGTGACTCGACAGGTGGAAGTCCGGGATGGGGTTTGGGGAACACCGGCGTAGCGGCAGCTACTAGTGTTGACTGGTGATCATGGCTGTCCGAGCCAATCAGCACTAACCGCCGTTTCAACCGGCACTGGATCGGTCCCCCGGGTGACTCGAAAGATGGATGCTATTTCTCCAAGATCCCTTTCGCTCCTGTTGTGACAGCGGCCTCAGGATCCCGCCCTTTTCTGGTGTCTCTCCCCTGACATAGGTGTGCCGACTCGTCCGAATGTGACTGCGCCGATGCTGATGTTGGTGCTCCGTGCCTGATGCGACTCGCAACCATCCCATCGGGATGGGATCGTGCTGCCCCTTCAAACCGTGGGGGAAGAAAAAAACGAGACGCAATATTGTCAGCCAACGGGTAGTTGCTGTCTAGGTCACCGGCCTAGACTGGAGCCTGCCTTATTCGATTTGTTTCAGAATATGTGCTTATGCTGCTGCTGGGCCCGGGCTGATCAAACCCCCGTCCACCATCTGGATGGCCGCCGCCGTCACGAAGGGCAACAAATTGTGGGCTAGCTGCCGGCGTTCCGATGTGTCGAGACTGGTAATATCGGCGTAAGCTAACGTAGGTACTCTCATGGAGTTTCGCGTCAGCCTCAGCAGATGACGCGGCAGATGGCTGTCACCGCTATGTTGGGGAAACCTCACGTATTGAAAAAGAAGAAAAGATCAGTTCTCTGCGTGTCTATCATCTCTCGTCCCACGTGTGTCGGATGATCGGTCGTCTGCAACGCCGTCCCATACCCTTGAATTAACCCCAGCCGGTAGAAGGACCCTGCTTGCTTGATGCGATGCAGCAGGCTTTTCGTCCCATTCCCATCCTCGCGCAAACTCCAATGCAAAAAGAAAGTCCGCAATCGCGTCTCAGACACGCCGTTACTGCAGGGTAGTCCAATCTCAAACTCATACAAGTAGCCCCCGTCCCCAGCACCGCCTTGTCCGCCTCCCATGACGTCTATCTCGTCATCATCAATGAATGGAATTTGTCGACTCCAAGCTCAGTGGCAAGTCCCGCTGACGAAACTACTGCCATTCCGTTCTCTCCCACACAGGCTTGCTCTACAACATCGTGCCGAAGGTGACCTCTTCCTCCTTGAATGGTATCGGCTTGCGCGGACTGACATCGTCTGTGGTTTTGCGGTGGCGGAATGTGAAGCCAACGAAGAGACTCTTGCCCATCTCGTCATCGCGATCCGCCATGGTCTCCAACGCCTGCTGTTTGTCATGCACCTCCTTGTACTTGGCCATGTCAGCCTCGTTGGAGAAGTCATCAAAGTATCCTGCGTCAGTCTCTGAGTCGAGCTCGGGCACGAATGGAGCCTTGGTACTCCGCAGGGTGTCCCAGTCAACCTCGGCGAAGTAGTGATGCTCATAAATCTCTTTGATGTTGGAAAAGCGTCTGGACCGGGAGTTGATGCAGCTGTGGACCGTAGTCAGGTAACGTTGTACGCGAACCTTGGGACAGAAGTGGCACTTACGTCGTGATGAAGTTCCATGTGCGGTTGCTGAGGAAGTAGTTGGGGTCCTCCCAGACGGGCCGCTTGAGTACATCTTTCCAGTGCTTCAAGTTCCGCCAAGTCTCATCAGGGGTGGAACCGGCAAATGGAGGGAATCCTGTCAGTGCCTCGAACAGCATGCAGCCCAAACTCCAGTAGTCCACAGTGTAGTCGTACTCGTCCCCCCGAAGAACCTCGGGCGCCATGTAGTCAGGCGAGCCAACGATGGACTTGGCGTAGTTCATGTCCTTCGCCCGCATCGTCTGGTAGCCTTCTCGCCGCTCCGCCACAGTTCGCTTATCCATGGGCTTTCCAAACGGCACTGATGTCTCGGAAGCCTTCTCGAGACGGACTCGCATGGACTCGATCTTGGCTGGAGCGAGCATGCCCGCTGCCAATCCAAAGTCAGTAAGCTTGACGTGCCCAGTGGAGTCAACAAGGAAGTTCTCCGGCTTCAAGTCTCTGTGGATGTACCCAAGCTGATGGAGCGCATCAACAGAGCAAAACATCTCGGCGATGTAGAAACGCGCATGGCGATTGCTCAGAACACCAGTGTTATTCAGCAGGGTGCGGAAGTCTCCACCTGGCACATACTCCATGGCAAGATAGATACTCTTGTCATCCTGAAAAGAGTAAAGCAGGCGAACCAACCAGTCACTCTTGGCGGTCGTAAGGATGTCGCGCTCTGTCAGCACATGGCGGACTTCGTCCAGCTTGAAGAGCAGTTTCTTGCTCATCACCTTTAGGGCGCAAACCTCGCGAGTGTCTTTCTTCTGGGCGAGGAAGACCTGGCCGTAGCCCCCCTGTCCAACCTGCGTCAGGATCTGGAAGTCACCCTGACGAAGTCTGACACGCCTCTTTCTCAGGTTGGCACGCTCCCGGCCCTTATACTTCTGCCACATCTGATTGTATGTCGCTTCGTCAGTCTCGGGCGGGGGCGGAATTTCCGACTGGAATGCAGTCAACCTGTTCTGTCTGGAGCCGACGTAGGTGAGGAGGTCGAAGTAGTAGTCAAGAAAATCTAGTCTTCGTCAGTTGAATGGCAACAAGTTTTGGGGGATACAACATACAAAGCTGCGTTACGTTGACAAGTCTTCGCACATTGGGACGTTGCAGGATCTCCAACTCTTCTGGAGTAAGAGCTCTCTGGGTATTGAACTTGTTTCTGGGAGTTGCGGCCTTCTCTCTGGGCTGGTACAGCTCATGGCGAGAGATGGCTGCATGGCTTTGCTGGTAAGGGGAGTCGGTCGCTCCCAAGCGCGGGATGGGAGGGGTGTTTTCCTGTCCATGGGACTTCTTCAATGGACTGCCAGTGAAGGTCGTTCCCTTGTGCAACACGCTTTCGTCCATGCTTGGGCTGTTTTCGTTGCCCCTTCCGGAAGACTGCGGGGTGGTGATCACGCTCAAGGGGCGGTCAAGTCTGGGCCTTTCGAGCACAGGAGTGCTCAGCTTGAGCGCATTGTCGAATGTATCGGGCAGTTCGTGGGCCCCGGGAGGGATTGTTCTCTTGCTGGGGCTGCCCTGGGGCGTGCTGGACGGATTGATGAAGCTGTTTCTTGTGGGTGTCTCTGGCCGCGACGAGTTGTGAGTGTCTCTTGTCCCTCCTGGGAACAGGTTGGCCATAAAGCCCGACATCGTTGCGACGTTGTCAAGCAGACAGGCCGCGATAAATTGAGGGAGGGGAAGTGAAGGGGGCACGAAAGACGAAAACAAAACGAGCAAACAGTCAGCTGGTGACAGGGTTGATAGGAAAAAGCCGAGAGGATTGAAATCGCTGCCGGGTACGAATAAAGTTGCGTGCTTTTGATAAAGGATGACCAGCGCGGCTTATTATGTTGTTGTCTTCTCCGACGTGGGGTTGATTTGGGCTGGAATCCAGGGCGATGTATGGAGACAGGCAACCCAAGATCTATGGGCCTGAAGGCTGATAGAACCATGCACAGTCGATCGCTGCCCGGGTGGGCACTCTCACATTTTAGGGGGGAGACAGGGAACAAAGGGCAGTGTTATTGGGTAATGCGGGGCACCAAGTCAACAATGTTGCAAGGGCAACCGCTGGGACCCCCTGTCAAGAGTGCAGTACGGTCACGTGATATATGAGATAAGATAATGACGCTAATCAGAAGTTGTCGGAATAAGCGATCAGGCTTCTTGCTGATGGTCAAAGCTTCTTTCCTCTGATATCAACTTTGACAACGACTTCGAAACTCACCACGTCGGCCCAACCAATCCCATACCAGCTCGACATCCCAAGATGCCGAAGGAACGCAACTTCAATCCTGTGCAAGCCCAGCGGAAAGCTGAAAAAGCCAAAGCAATCAAGAAAGGTATGCCCCAAACCCGGGGTTTGTGCTCACCGTTATAGGCGACGTTTTTACTGATGCAACAACCGTCCAGGCAAGGCTGAAGTCCAATCCCGTCGCAATGAGAAGCTTGCTCGTCGAAATCCCGAACGAATCCAGAAGCAGATAGACGACCTCAAGGCCATAACAACGGGGGGTGGCAAGCTTTCTCGTCACGAAGAACAAGTCCTCGAAGGTCTCGAGAAGGAGCTGCGTGCAGTGAAAAAGGCCCGCGAAGCACTAGGCGACAAGGCCCCTTCATTTGGTCATGGAGGTTTCAACCGAGGTGGTGATTTCTCAAGAGGAGTCCTTGGAAAGCGGAGAAGGGACGACAACGAACTAACAAGCGACGAGGACGTCCCTAGTGATGTCAAAAGTATTCCCATGCCGCGAGATACCCCGCCGCCGATTCCAAAGGAAATGATGGATAAATGGTACGCCAAGAGACGAGCTCGCTGGCAAGCTCAGCAGGCCGAAACCCAGAAATCGGACGAGAAGGAGGAAAAGCCTGCAGCGCCAGAGCCGAAGACTGTGTATGAGGCCAAACCTATAGTTCGAAACCTGGCGAAGGAGGCAGTATCTGCATTTGTGCCTACCGCAGTCAAAATAAAGATGGATAAAGGCAAGGGCAAGGGTGGTTTGATGGAACCTGAGGAAGCAGACAAGCTCGAACAAGAGGGTTACTTGAAGGCACTGGCCTTGACAGACGAAGCCGAAACCGCTGGACCCAAGAGGGTTATGGTTGAAGATGCCGACGATGACGATATTTGATCCGGGGTCAATTGCACATCCCCATTACTATCACCCTCGTTGTGCCGATAGCACAGTCTGAGAAGCCTGGCGGTGAGACGCAACTTCTCGCGGCTTAGTCGCATCTCGCACAACGAAGCTTCTCCGCAGCTTTGCGCAGCACACGAAACTGTGCAACTATCGAGACTGCTTCCACCTAACTGTCTCAGTGACAGTCGCTTTCGCATTTCTAGGACTGCGGCATTTGCCGCCTAGTTTTCCAACCAGACCCAGACTGCGGGATGAAAGCATCGTCTTCTGGTATTACAATCAGGAATGAGATACGAGGAGCATCCCAATTGGCGACATGCGGGTTATGTGGCGCAGGGATTACTCCAAAGTCAGAGTACCAATGTTACGAGAGCAGCAAAAGCATGGCTGACCAACCTTCGTCCCAGTTGCCCAATAGTGGTGCGGTTTCTATTGGTAATTGATTCTGGCAGTCTATCAAGCCTCATCGAAGGTTGGGCCAGTCTTGAAGAACAGAAAGGAAAGCGATCGCTACATGATCACTGTCACCGTATCATACGTCGTTTCCGAAGAAGCATATGTAAAGCGGCGCGTCTTCGACTCTATTGGTGGCACTCAGGCTCTGGCTGACAGCTCTTCGATTCGGTAGAGGATATGACAATTCCAGGTTGCTGCCATACATAAACAGCGAAATCCTAAGGCGTGGAGATAGCACAGAAGATGATATTCCAACAGAGAGCAATGACAACTAAAGCGAGCCTCTGGATATCCCCTGAAAGCACCAACATTTCTTGCAAGGATCCCAGCGAGCTGCTGCAGTATTCCGGGGCTACTGGAGACCGGAGGGCCTCCCGTGAAAAAGAGATCCACATTGGCACCTCGAGGACCAACTACATGTAGCACTTCCGAGTTCTGATGTAAGTACGGGTCTCAGCATGACCACTCCCAATGACGCAATACGGCGCCTTGTGATGAAAGGCGCAGTATCGGTTGCGTTATGGGCGCCACGTTTGGCAAGATGCAAATACGGCAACACGACCTATTAGCCAGGAATTCAGGAGAGAGTTCCGAATAACTCGATGCTCCAATTGGCTCGCAAGCCCTGTGTCGACTTTTCCTCGAATCAGCTTGGCGAACATGACCGGCATCTGACGTCGACAGTCATTGAATCGAGTTATTTGGGCCCCATTAGAGAGGCATTCCCTGCCGACTTTAAATGGGATTTCAACCCCATTGATGCCCCACGAAAGGAGCCTTCTCCGAACGCATGCATCCTATAGAACCCCCGGCCAGGCCAATGTGATCAACCCTATGAAGCAAAATACGGCCTTGATCCCTTTAGCAACTTGTAATCTTGTTTTCTATCGGACCCCGTTATTTGTCATTAGAAAACCCTTTCGCCACATTTTGTGTGGCCCATAGGTGCCGTATGTGTTCGCGCAGTGCACGTTTATCACTAGGTTTCTGTGTTCGCCTACTCTAGTTTGCAGCATCAAGAAACCGGATCGAATTGGCTGTTTTTACCAGCCTATCTGTCTGCCAACTATCAAGGGCAATCAATCGTGCCACCGAATTCCGAAACTGCACTCTCAAGCCAAAGCTGGATTGTAACCCTAGCAGCACGCTACACGTACACGTTTCGTCGAGATCGAGACACTCGGTGCTATGACGAAAATATTCATCAAGAATGTTCGCGTCTTCGATAGCCAGGTGATCCGTGAAGCTGGAAATGTCGTGTTCACTCGGTCCGCCGGCAATATCCAAGACCCCATGGCCGATGGCTCCGAGGCCGAGACGTCTGATCACGTCGTCGACGGGCGTGGCTGCTCATTGTTACCCGGCATTATTGAAGTTTACGCCAACATCAAGGGTGCGAATGCTGCTCTTGGTTCTTATGCGAGCCATGGAGTGACCACCGTTATCGACCTGAGCAGCAATACCCAGCAATGCCAGGCTCTGCGAGTCTATGCTGCCGGTAGGACGGGCCTGCCCACTTTCCTCACCTCTGGCACTGAGGCCACGTCTGCCAAGGACTGTCAACCGCAGCTGTACGACAGCTCGTACGAGTTCGTCATCAGCACGCGCGAAGATGCCGTGAGATATGTCTCGGCGAAATCGAGCGGCCCGGACCGAGCAGACTTCATCAAAGTCGCCGTCGACCCCCACTTGCCGACGGACGAGATTCTTAAGACCATTGTCGACACCGCTCACGCCCATGGCAAGCTCACCATCGCCCGCACCGCCGGCAAATCAAGCTACGAACGCGCCATGCTCGCCGGCTTCGACATCTTTGCCCATGCGCCGCTCGACGCGGCCCTGGACCCCGCCATGGCGCGCGAGATGGCCGCCCAGGGCAAGGTCTTCGTGCCGACGCTCGCCATGATGTGGAGGCGCGCGCTGGCCGAGAAGTCCGACACGTCCACCGCGACAACAACCACCGACACCGGTGAAAGGGACCGGCCGTCCGGCATCCCCTCGCAGCGCCGCGGCGTCGGTGGTGGCGACGGCGCGGAGAGGGACCAAGACGATGACTCTGCCGACCCGGGCTCGAGACAGCACACCGACCCGGGTGCCACCGTGGGCAGCGACTACGGCAACGCGACGGCTACCGTGCGCACGCTGCACGACGCCGGCGTCACCATCTGCGCCGGCACGACGGCGAACCTGGTCCCGGGAGCCCAGATCCCGTTTGGCGAGAGCTTGCACGAGGAGCTGCGCTTGCTCGTCGAAGCCGGCATGTCGCGGCTCGACGCGCTGCGCTCGGCGACCTGCGTGGCTGCCAAGGCGTTCCGGCTCAGCGGCCGCGGAATCATCCGGAGCGGCCTCCGGGCCGATCTTGTCCTCGTCGAGGGGAACCCGCTGGAAGATATCAATGCGACCCGCAACATCAGGAGGGTCTGGATACAGGGGGAAGAGGTCGATTCTGAGAAAATTGCGGCATGAGGTGGACGGCGTATCTGACGATTACGTCCCAAGGGTGGGGGGGCTTTCTTCGAATGTTCCTTGGGTCATCACGCGGCCGTGTTATTCAGTAAGGTGATAAGATGAAATATAATGTAAAAAGGCTTTGTGGCCAGAGTGAGCCCTGCACTGAGACCAGAACTATTGCAACCCATGCCAGTGCTGTGGAACCTTGCTGAGGGCGTAGAATGAGTTCTGAGGCACTTCCCTCAACCCTAAGCCTTTCCAGAGCCATAACGAAAAGAAATCACAAATTCCGTGAATCAACGGGATGGACGATGCACAATCGCATCATTATTCGCCGCCCCTTCGCCTCGTTCTCCTCCTCGCCCTCCGCCGGGACCTTGCACGTGCTGAATAGTCTCTCCGAAGCCGACCGTGTACGTCTCGTCCTCGAGGCCCAGCATACCCCCCTTAGCGCCGTCAAAGACTCGCGCACCGCTCACAAGAATCATGGGTGCGACGGCGCCCTCGTGCGCCGTCGGCCTCCGCCGATACGACGGCACCCGCACCTTCAGGACCCTCGCCCTCTCCTCGACGCCGGCCAGCAGCTCCTGTGCGCGCCCCGAGACTCCCGCGCTCTCCATCTCGCCGAGCACGCAGCACGCGCGGCCGATGGTATCTTGGATCTCAGGGGTCGAGGTGTCGGTTTCGAGCCGGGGGAGGAGGGCGTGGGCGACGAAGGAGCAGTACTCGGCGGCCCAGTATTCGTGCCTGATGGTGTAGATGCCTCGGTAGATCCAGAGGTTCGTCATTATGGAGTTCGCGTGGAGGATCTGGAGGGATGCGGCGTTGCGGTTGTCAAAGAGGTCGGTGCCCGCGTGGTTCGTGTAGCTGAAAAGGAGCTTCAAGGCGACGAAGTCGTACGTTGCTCTGGTTTAGGGGAAGGGGTGTTAGCCGAGGGTCTCTGTCGAAGTTTCTTGTCCGATACCTAGAGATCCGGGGCAAAAACGCGACTTACTGCATCAGCAAGACGGACGGAGAAATGCCGTTGCTGGTCAGGAGGTGACCTGGAAGTGCCAGCTTCCAACAAAGCAGCTTGTTGTAAAGTGCCGTGCAGTGGCTACTATCCAAGAGCGACATTTGACCGTCCTTCAAGAAGCCCGATATAAACTGGTCGGTAATTTCGCAAAGGGAGCACTTTGCACTGAACACTTGCAGTTGGTATGATATCTGGCTGGCAATGCCATCCCTGCCGGCGGAAGAGACCGAGTCTGGTGAGCTGGACCCTTGGTGGACTCCCAAGTTCTCGAACGTTTTCATGACGAGCGGCTTCGAGACCAGCATGTCTGGAGAAAATAGCAAGGCCATTTTTCTGTGTGAAAAAAAAAAAAACGACTTGTCAGCCGCGGCGTTCTGGTGGACAGCCATTCAAGGGTGGGTGAGTGAGGACGTACGCGAAGAAGCAGTAAAACCCCCATGTAATGTGAGAAGCCGCCTGCAATATCCTGGCATCTTGCGCATCTTTCTTTCCGGAATCCCCAAAGTGCGCGGAGCTGCCGGTATCGAGGCCAAGTGCGAGCCAAGTATGTTGGAGCAGGTCCCTGAGGCTCGCGCACTCCGTGTGGAACGCTTGAGAGCCCCGGTTGCAGACAAAGAGCCAGAGGACGGCCGCGCCCTGCAGAAGAGTCAACGAGATGACACACTTTTCCATATCGAGCATATCGAATGCATGACTAGCGAATCTATGGCTTAGAGCAACCATGTCTCCTGAATACGACTCAGGCTGCTTCCTCGTCGCGTGTAGCTGCAGTCATCGGGTAGAACCGTTAGCATCAAGGGCTTGATTAAGACACAAGGGGAGCGTAGGGGAGTATCTCAAGCACACACACAAGCCACGGCGAGGATGGCGTTTACGAGGAAGGGTGAGCAGAAACCCCGGTTCTGGTCAGTGGAGGAGTCTGGCCTGGCGGCGCTCAAATCGCCGATGAAGAGCTCTCGGTCGATAAGATGGGACAGGGTATCGTCCCAGGTCCAGAAGAGGTCAATGAGGTAGGTCAACAGTTTGTTGTCTTGCGAAACAGTTGTCCAGCGTGAGACGGGCATAATGGGTTCGGGATCAAAGTTGGCAGCTGGCAGGGCCTTTACTAATCCATCGGAACTAGCTCGACGAGAGGTCAGTAACATGAGTAACAGTTGGATTTACAGAGCTAGATGTACCTTGATGTCAAATGTCTAGTTGCTGTTTCGCGATTTAGGGCTTCTGGTTGGTTTGTGAAGTCTTCAGGGTCTCCCGAGTCGCCTACGACACCATAATGTCAACGACCAAAACATCCCAAGTCCCCTATACACCTGCAGACTTTGGGAGTGCCTACTCCTCTGGTTGTAAATATGCGGAAGCAACAGACTAGCATCAGCTATGGACTCAATAGCCTCATCAAGGTCTTTCGAGTGCTGTAATTGCTTTAGAATATCTTGAGAGGTCCCATCTCGATTCGCTCGGAGTAGTTCCAGGACCCGCTGGCTTTTCTCATGTGCTATCGACACATGACTGAGCTTCTGTTTCTGGGCCTCCCTTTGTGATAGACCCTCAGGGACGGGGTAGTCACAGGGTGCATTCGAGGCCTTGCAGGCGTAGCAGCACGGTCGGACGCCATCGCACTGCCATGACTTTCAGCCGGAGTTTAATCTTTCTCGACTATGCGTACAACAAAGGGTACATAATGGAACATGAGAAGGGTTGTATCTACTGACCTTGATCTTCTTCTTCCGGCAACCTAGGAATGGCATTAGACACCATTTTTAACGTCCGGGTGCGAGGAGCATACCATTGCACGCGGCTGACACTTGCGGCCTCTTCCTCTTGGGTACCGATATAATGTTTGGAACCGCTGGCTGGCTGCTGGCGCTGAGCGGCAGCAGTCGCCTCAGCTTCACTGTGTTTTGCATAATTCAGAATGGCTTGTAGGAAGTGGTCGTGGACGAGGTCACTTCTTCTGGTTTGTATATAGCGAAGTTGGGTCCAGAGCATGTGCCCGATGGTATGATGGGACACCGGTGTTGTAATCATCAAATCATTGGATTCCGGCGAGTGCTTGAGGGCAGTACGCCTTACGTCAGAGGAGAGGGGGAAAAAAAGGAAAGATTGGCCGACCAAGGCTGGTGTACATAACTGTCTGTGGGGACACCGGAGCGGGGATCCAGTTCGGTAGGGGGTATTCCAGCTTCGGGGGGGGTATCCGGCCAGTGGATCGAAGTTTGGGGGAGGGTAAAAAGACCTCCGTAGGCTTATTTAGGCTTAGCGTAGAGTGTGAAGAGTGCAAGAGTCCTAGGTATAGACTCAGCATATGCTCAGCATATCCTTTATAATATAGCACTTACCTTCTATAACTATAGAGGACTTAGTTATTTTAGTTTTTATTAAATCCTCTATAGTTATAAGAGGTAAGTACTATATTCTAAGGTATAGACTTAGCATATACTCAGCATATCCTTTAAAATATAGCGCTTACCTTCTATAACTATAGAAGACTTAGTAAGAACTAAAGTAGCTAAGTCTTCTATAGTTATAGAAGGTAAGCGCTATATTTTAAAGGATATGCTGAGTATATGTCTTAGACGACATAGAAGATTTCTGCGAGCGAAAGTTTTGAACGTATAGACTCTACGACGACCCAGTCGTACAATGCGGGTCGTATTATTATAGCTTTAAGTGCGATTGATTAGAATTTAGGCCGCGGAAGACCGGAGCCAGCCCCGAAGCCAATGACGGCTCCTAATTCGGTGGCGTGCGACGGGTTCCTTCAAGTTGCGAGCAGCGGGCGTGGGAAGCTACCAAACCGTATTCAACTATTCGTAGGTGCGTGTTCAAGCAGAGGGGCAAGAGACGACAGTGCGAGGGAAATCGCCACTGGCGATGTGGTTGTTTTACTGAGTAATAGAATCCAGATAAACCTGTGTGGTACAACCGCAGTCTCGTGAAGAGGAATACAGCGCGATCTTGAACCTGCTTCAATGTCCCGAGTGTGAATTCTGGCATTAACCAGGTTTCCATTTTCTTAGCCACACGTTGCCCAATGGCCAAGCCAGAGCCTCAGTTGCATTGGCATGCTTGGATTGCCACCCATCTGGCTCCATGTACTCCGTATTAGGTAGTAGTCACACAGGGAGAGCTCCGCGCGTGTGTTGGAGTAGCCTGGACCTTCTCGCTCCAATGGACGCCAGTCAGACTCTTGGAAGTGATACGTACCGGTAGCATAAGGTCCGTATGTAGATGGTACTTGCAGTAATTGCAACTGTTCCTGGGGGGGGGGGGGGGCAAAATGCAGAAGCGGAGAAAGCAAGGCAGGGAACTCAGGATGCGTCGCAGGGATGTGCGCATGGTGTCCGCTGACGGTCGCTGCAGATGTGGGCTGTCACATAGGTAGTGTCTTGCATGTTAGTACTCATTTCTTTTCCGGTTCGTTTCTCAATACAACCGACAGCCGTGCTCGGCCCCTGTCACCTCCTCAACATTCAAATGTCGAGGCACGGGAGGAGGCCATGTATAGGTTCCGAAACCACGGCATCTGGCGTGATTACTGGTAGGGTTTACATCAGGGAACAACGTGGTGGGTCTTTTCCAGCTGCCAGCATGGTCAAGGGTACTAGTACAGAGATACGGTTATTTCCGTGGAATGGCAGGAGTCCAACGATGGGCCGAGGAGTATGTCCCAAGGGTAAGGGGACCATGAACATGGATCATTAGAAATGGTAACCTCATCGTCAAGCAGGCGAGACCGGGTACAGCAACAGGTTGCTCTGCTGTGTCCACCATTGCATCGGAGGGATTGGACGGCGATTGTATACTTTATTGGCATGATGTATGCAATACCTGGACAGATATAGCTAGGCGTTTATATTCAAACATGCTTCCAAATGAATACTCAAGCCTCTCCGAGCCTTACCCCCAAACCTCCTCACTGGGAGCGTTTGCTACCATGATGGGAAGGCCCTCCCCCCAACAGCTCCTACCTGGACCCCTCCTCCCCCTTTTCACACCCGCCCTCTCACACGCCTGTAGATTACTCACCTAGGTAATGCTGTATATGCTTGGTAGGCAAGCCATGAGGGTTCATGTCCGACGTAAGGTAATCCCCTTCCCCGTGGCTGCATTTTTACGTCGTGGAGCAGCAAAATAAATAAGGAAGAATGATAAAGAAAAAAGGTTCAACCTTTGAGGCAGAGCAGAAGCATGTCAACTAAGGGGTGACAGTAGAGATTTGGGATGGAGATTGGGGAGATCCACTCAGCATCTGGGAGTGTACCAAGGCAGTATTAGTACTGACCAATCACAATAGCCGAGAACCCCTCCGGAATGCGTTCCGGCATGTACACAACAACCACTGGCCGATTGATCAACTCGCTTGCTTGCCGCTGAACCTCCCCAACAAGTTGACGTCTAGTCTCTCTTCAATCTTCTTTATTTTCTTTTTTCCTCGTGTTCACTTGCTGCTCTGCACATCGACGTGAGATATGGTCGCCATTGGTCCCGAACCCTGCGATCACCATGTCGAATCGTACCACGTATCGAGCCCCCCCCCCCCGCATTGCTCGTTTTGCTTCTGGAATACCATTGTAGACCAATCTTGACATTTCACTGAGCCTCACCTATCGATATGCTGCCGGGTTGCGCATGCCTTGCGCAGTACGATACGTATCTCATATTCACCATTTGCAACATCTGGCGAGTCCAACCCCCACGACCACGCCTTGGGTGGCCAGCCATCCATCCTTTTTCTGCTTCGTCCCTTGTTACTTGCAAACGGACAACATCCCCATCTCGGCCATCTCTCATGTCCACAATCATTCTTGGCAACCAACTCGGCCCGGTCAAATATGTCCTTGCCCCCCCCCAGTATTCGTCATCTTTCCTCGACCCCTAGTTTCTCTGTTGCCTGTGTCTTCTTTTTAACTTTGAACTTGTATCCATCCACAGGTCAGCAATTGGGCCTTACTCCTGGCTCTCTCGACACAAAGCGTTTTCCCTCTCATCCTCCTCGTCCTCGCGTTCATCCTAATTCCCCCTTGGCAGTCAGATCAGTCAAGTAACAGGCCAAGGCAGCGGGTAGTGTGACCATTAGTCACATTGAATTTCCTTTACCGTTACCATTTTGTTACCACCACCAGGGTGGCCGGTCCTGAAGGTATCCACCTCAAACCTTTACAAGTCCCCTGCCCTCAGAACCCAGTTAGCTAATCTCCATTATACAAGAATCAATGGCTAAGTCCTGTTACCCCAATCCAGTGGTGACGGCTGAGGCACAGTACATGGCCCTGCCTCTTTATGCCATACCCCCGAAGCAGATGTCCTTCCTGTCGCAGACCGACGGGGATCAGCTTTGTCAGCAGTGGCCTGGGTGGGATTACCAACCCTTTGAGCCAGTCTTCTCTCCGGGCAACTCTGCAGTATCAATGAGCTCCGTTCAATGGGAGGCCGAACGACAGAGCCAGCAGTCCTTCGAGGCTACCGGACCAACACTCCATTGCACAACTGCCAGCTCGGTGCAGCCGGGATACTGGCCTTCGTTCCAGCAACAACAGCAGTATCTTCAATCGCCGCAGTCTGTCTTCCTCAGTCCGCCGCTTCAATGGCCGGCCTCTACCGATAATCCCCTCACCACGGCCCCGGTACCGCAGCCTCCCCCTTCCAAGGGTCGCGACCGATCGAAGCCAGAGCCAGAGCCAGGGCATAGAGCTACTGCAACGAAGAAAAAGGTAACGACGCCTGCCAGAAGACCAGTAGACCCGCGCCTTGTGTCGATGAGCCAAAACCACCCCAAACATGCGTGGGTCGGAGTTGGCGGCGCCAGCGAATCCCCTCCCGCCAGCTCAATGTCATACGAGGACAAGGACAGCGACGCATCGTTGGCACCAGCAGTGAGAGACAGGAAGATGCCGTATCGCGTCAAGAATCGAGCGGCTGCCAAGCGTTGTCGCGAGAAGACGAAGCAGTACGAGATCGATTTGGCCAACAAGGAAAAGCAAGTCACAAAAGAGCATATGTACCTCGACGCCTGCGTAGTGGCGCTCAAAAACGAGGTGCTCTCCCTGAAGAACCAGATCCTTCAGCATAGCAGCTGCGACTGCGATATGATCCAGGGATACATTGCCAGGACAGCCAGCACCGTTAGCGTTGCCGGAAATGGCGTGCCTACGGTATCGCACCCATCGGCTTGAGTTCCAACATGGAACAGGTCAGAAAGAAGGACCACGGCTCCGAGTTGTATTACGCTTTCACGCGCGCGCAGCATACGTACACCGGCAACTATTTTGAGCTTGCTGAGCCAGGCATTTGGAACATTGAAAAGCGCAAAAGGGAAGGAGGCTACAAAGGCGTGTGCTGATGCCGATGACACCTGCTGAGAGATGGAAGAGCTGTGCTGTCGGATACCAAAGTAAGTAGGGTCCGGTACCCTCTTTTTTTTTTCTTTTTTTTTTTCTTTTTCTTTCTCTCCTTCGCTCTTCTCGTCGTGGCTATCCCTCTCCCACTTGGTCTTTTGTTTCCTCGCACAGCCAGCTCTGTTGAGCGACTCTTTTCCGATTTCTTTTGCTGATTGTTATTATTATGGAACAAGGCTTGGTTCTTTCGCGGGCCACTCGAAGATGATGTCGGCGCGTCGAGCTATGCCGAGTACAGGGGCAGCCACGTCCACATATCATATGCCAAGCTGGGGGTTGGCTTGTCCCTCACGGATACGTCTCCGACCAACCAACTCTCACGGGCCTGGCCATAGCGCACCCACACATGCGTGCTTCCGCATAACATACGAAGCACATTGCATCTCACGGTCGGTTCCCGACGTCCGGGTCAAATGATGTCATGCCATCATCGTTGTCGCTATCAATTGTTCTTCATCATCGTCGTCGTCATTGCCATGCACTCGGTTTCTGCCTTCTTGCCCTTTCTCGTCCCGTTCATCGTCAAACCCAGCAAAATAATACCCTCTGCTCTGCCACCCGCCCTTCCCCCCGCGTGCACTTTGTCAGGTTTCAGCGACCACAAGGAAACACGACAGACGGTTGCGAGCGTCCAATCCTGGGGCTGCTAACAGGAACCGACCACTGGGATTCGATGTGCGGGCAAACTCTCGATAAGCATAGTGGTCCCTGGTTCCCTGCGATATCCCTGCCCTGCAGTGGGTGAACAGATCGCACAGCTGCTTTTCCCAGCTGATGGCCTGGCCGAGTCGTGGCCAGACGGGTCCATGGAAGTTTGGACAGCTTTACAAGGCTAAAGTTAACGTCCCAGTCCATGTCATTATTTTCTCTCCCCCAGTTCCACGTCTCGTGCTCTTTTTCTTTTTCATCACTGCTATTCCATATTCCTCATTTTCGTCGGGAGGTGCCGGTGTAAGAGCATTGCCGGCACTGGAACAATCAAGGAGGGTGAGGGTCCCAGCCAGCACTAGCACCTGCACCACCAGCCAACACCTCTGTTCTTTTGTTCTCTTTTCCTTCTTTGTCCCCCAGCGGCCACCAACCCTGAGCACCAGAGTTGACAAGAATTACTGGCGTCGCCGCCTTACCCATTTCGTCATACCCCTACCTCACAGGCGCTAGGTAATTGCATCCGCGATAAGGATATGAGGTAGCATTTCAACGTTTTCCAAAGACCAAAAAATCGACAAAATCCAGCACGGCACACGGCACATCGACTCCGACCCGAAACACCAATCATCAGAATGGCCGGCGGGTCGGCAGTATGACGCGCTCTATACCAGAAAATCGAGACATTCGAAGCGAAGCCGCGGGCGGATCTGCTCTTGCGGTTGAGGCCCGCTCTGGCTCAGGCTCCGGCTCTGGTGCTGCCCTCTCTCTGTTTGGATTCGCCCACCCGCGCGCCCATTCCTTTTCCGGCCAGAGATCTCGCCGTCACGGCTACTACTACACGCCTACGCCTCCCATCAACAGTCCTCGGCGAACTTGGTTGCCCACCAGGCCCGCCCGAGGCCTTCGCATGCTCAAGGTCACGATGAAACCCCAGCGAGACATTCTACCCGCAGGCCCAACAGTAGCCAGCAGCGCCTCATCGGAGCGGGAGTCGACCCCGCAATCCGCCACCGGTTCCACGCCCAGTGCACCTAGACGCCGCCCTCAGACCAAGATTGCTTGCACATCATGTCGTCGAAGGAAATCGAAATGCGATGGCATGCGTCCCGTGTGCTCATTGTGCGCCGGCATGGGTCGCACCAAGTGCGAGTACGACGCCGGCCCAGACGTCACCCGCTTTGCCGCTCTCAAGACCAAGCATGAGGGGCTGCAGCGACGCCTTGCCCTCTTTGAAGAACTCTTCCGCCTGCTGTCCATGCGTTCTGATGCCGAATCTCTCGAGATAATCAGCCGTATGCGCACTGCCAACATCGAGACAGACCTCGAGGATCTCGTCAAGTTCATCAAGAACGCCGACTTGTTGATGCAACTGTCCTCCACTCAAGCGGACCACACACCTCCCGCATCAGGGGCATCGGGTGCTGGGACGCATCTCCCCAGCACGTCCCTAAACGACATTTCCTCTCTCTTGGAGCTATTGTAAGATTGATCTAGCCTAAGGCTCCCCCCTACTACTTCTTCTGCTGACAGCAAGATACCAGAAAATCGGTGGTTTCCAAACTCGATCCCTCGGCTCGGTCCGCGCTTTTGGACACTATACGACACCAAATAGATGTCTTCAACTCACACGAGGGCGGCCGACTCGGCTCCGCTGAAACAGTGAAGCTAGAAGAAATGGCGGATGTAGACGCACACGCAGATGTGGATAACGAACGACCCAAGGAGCCAGGGGCCTTTCTCAGGCACTTGCTCAACGATGACACGACAGGACCGAATTGACGTATCCATGCTGCCGCAGCGGGATCGACACATCCCTGTATGGAAGCAACCAGCTGATAAAGTGAACGAAAGGGGGGAATCGGTTGGCATGAAGGGTGTATAAGGGCAGACCTGTTTTTATTGGAAAGCTCGAGGCCTACTGACCGACACGGTGAGACTGGCGGTGGATTCCGGAGCATTTCAGTACAGGACAGGCCTGGGTTTTCTTCTGACATTTGCATCATCTTGCGGAAGGCGGCAACTGTCAATTTTCAGCGAGCAACCTTTTCACGCGGGGTCTGGTGGCTGTTAGCACAAGGCTTCGGCCCGGCTACTCAGTGGTGGCCCACGCCGTTGGCGCCGAAGGCGACAACAACTGAGCGGCCTCGGATCCAGGCTCAAAAAGGGGCGACAGAGTGGTGGCCGTTGACGGAAAGGTTGGAGGCTCTTTTCGTGACTAAAGTCACTGGGGAAGATGGACTGCAACAGGTATGGTTTACAGCCGCAAATATGAGGTCTTATTATCAAGTGAAGTTCTAGGCAGCTAAGGGAGGATAACGGGAAATTCCCGAGTGACGCTTCGGTCTCTTACGAGCCCAGAGGTGTGGGCAATGACAGGTGGCACACCACACAGCAGCCATAGTTACGGTCAAACCAAAAAAAAAAAAAAAAAAAGGAAGAAGGAAATCAAGGAAGTTTGAATATTGACCACAAAGACACGCGATGCGAATGTTGAGGAAGCCGACAGTGGAAGACCAGACCCTGCTCTTCGATGAGTTCTCGGAGGACCCATTCGATGATCGTCTTTTGGCTGCGATTCCAGGCGCCGGCCCTCTCCCCTAACCCAGAAGGAGAGGGCGGTCCCTCGCCAGGGTCGCACAGGTACACGCCACACGAAAACAACGCAAAAGGCAAAACAGGCGGAGATACCCGGGCTGGCTGTGTGTGGTGAGCGTGTGGTGTTTTTTTTTTCCCTTGATTTTTTTCCGGTTGGTCCATATACATGCGCTAAATCAGTGTCGGCGAGGAACCAATCTCATCCACGGTCTGTACCTTGGCTTAGGGACCTAGGCACGACGGTGCTTGGCCCCAACACGAGCCGTTGACATGCGAAATTCAGATACTGGTCCAACACGGTCACTCTTGAGACTGTTCAGGTACACAATGATAGTGACACAGTGAGGAAAACACAGTATGGGTATCATGCCCAATACTCAACAAAATAACATCGACCTGCGAAACAAGTCATTACCTTACGACACGACAAGAGAAGAAGGGGGTGTGTGGCTGGCTAGCTGGCGGCGTCATCTCGGTACAGGCCCGGCCCGAGAGCGTGCGGGCTTCCATGGGGGGGGGAAGGGAAACCCGAGCACAATGGATGGAGACTGGGCAGACGAAACACAGTCTTCACACTCATTCTTTGTACTCATTCCCGGTTCACTTTCGCCCCCCGGCATAGTCCAGCCGATCGAACGTGACGAGTGTCTCTCCACGGCAGAGGTCTCCGATGAGTATAAGACTCTCGCTCGTCCGTCACCAGCTGGACGAGCCCTTATCGAGATAACCGACGCGCCCCAGGCACACTGTACCGTCCGTTTTTTTGGGGGCCTTATCACTTCCCTTTGTTTCTCGCTTGATTTAGCACGAAGAGGAAGTGGAGAGAGTGAGGTTGCAATGGTGGGCGGGTGGCGCGCGCGCGCGCCTTGGTCAGTGTCTGGAGATGGAGTATCGGCCGACAGTTCAGCTCCGAAACGAATAGGGATATAACCACGGGTAGGCAGCAAGATGACCAAACTTCGGCACACTCCAGAGGGACAAGGCCCAAGGGGCGCTGTTCGGGCGTGTCCAGCCGAGGCCTTGCTGTCGTCAGCGTCATTTGCCCTCAATAGGTAACACTCTTCCGCGGGTACTGTAAGCGGATGCCACCTCCAACTTCGGAGAAGTCTCCATACGGTTGGATTGGCTGGCGCAAAGTCTCGCTGCCTAGGCCGAAAGGGGCAGTAAGAGGGGTGGGGCGGAAACCCCGCTGTGATGGGGCTTGGTCGGATTCTGACCTCGGTCGGCGCTGGCCCCCTAATGTGTCATCGCAGCATCAACAGAAAAAGGGGGGGAAAGAGAAGAAAAGTGGAAGAAAGAAAGAAAAGAAAAAAACCAGTCAAGATGTGGGCCAGCACGGGCGGCGGTGTGGCACAGCGCGCGCAGAACAGCATGAAGGCGACGACGTGGCGGATGAGGAGAAGGAGGATGAGGAGGGGTGATACTTGTCGCTTACTATGTATTCGTAAAGCCGAAAGCCAATGTTTGCCCTGGGCTGTCTGGGTATTTGTCGGCGGCATGGGGCATTCCCCGGGCTGCGTTGGTGGTCGGTGATGCGATAGTGGGGGGGGAGCTGCACTACGAGGTCTGCATCGGGCGATCAGATAAGCTGCTGATGTGAGGTAGCCACTTAGCGCTGTGCTAGTCTGAAGTAGGGTTAGCGGGTAGGATCCGTGGTGGATTGGATCGGGCAAGGGATATGGTATTTATCCGGGGGTTGCACTGTCACTGTCAGCTCTGCACAGACCAGGTGCGCACGTTTTGTCTGAGACTCTTGGCCCAAGAACCGCAGCGCCCAGACTTTGCCAGGCGGCAAATCCCGGGTCCGAGGCTTGCCTTATGTAATGATACGACATAGTGCATCTGCTGACTGGGTAAACTACAGGACGAACAATAAAAAGTTGAGGCCGGTCCGGTGACTTGGCAACGGCCGGGGCCGACACAAAGGAAACAGAAAACTTTCGACGATCTGCGGCAGGTGGGGGCGAATGACCAGACCAAGGGGGGAGGGAAAGTGAAGAAAAAGCCTATGATCAAGGAAGCCCAAGCCTAGCATTCCGCCATCGGCCGAACGACGATTTACGGGTGGTGTCATCCCCCCCTCCCGTTAGCTACCCTTCTGTTAGGTAGTGTGGATTCCACCGGGATTCCTCCTTCTCGCCTTTAGAGGGTTTGCCCATTTGTTTCCGGACGTCACTGCGCTCTATACAGTGTGTCGGCATTCCCTTGGCTAGCCGTTTTTCAACTGCTGGTTCGAAGAAGATGTGAGCCATCGGAGCGTCATCTCAACTCAATCGTCGAAGAGGCTAAACGGCGCAGCCAGATCATGCTGGTCGCGATGGAGTTTTCCGACGAGCGAATCGGCTTCAAGCCCGTATGTAGTGTCGTTTTCGCGTTTATGCAGCTGGGCCGGAGCAGGCAGGCAAAATCAATTGATCGGCGGCTACGGAGCCTTCTCCGCCAGTTTCGTGCCCGTGACCGTCGATTGCCGTTAGGCATTCGTGCAGCATGCGACTTCGCCGCCATGAGTCGTCGTCGGGTGAGTCGTGATCCTTGGTACTTGTGATTTCCCGCGGCGGTGGCGGCGGCCGGCCAGTGTAGCGGGGAAGGGGAATGGATGGCGAAGTCGGGGCGGGGGGGCGGTTGGCTGGGGAAAGAAAGGTTGCAAGCATTTCCACCACTAAGCGAAACACGCTAGGTATTGGTTCGTTCGATCACAATTCCCAACTCATCGACAATCCCGTCTTAAGGCCGCAAGCACCCTGTGTTGACATTTTACAGTCAACCACCCACCACATATCGACACCAACCTGTCTATCCTCGTCATGACTGTTGTGCCAACCACCTAACCCCCATCAACCAAACCGAATACGAGAGATGTATCAAACCATACCCTCCAAGCCTTTCAACCTAGAAAGAAGTGCGCAAGTGCGGATATATACAGCCAGACGATGTTGGTCCACACTCGAACTCACGAGGAAAAGCGAGCCGAGAGTTGAAGCCGGGCCCATAACGGCCCACCCCCAGCTAGCGAACCGTCTGGAACTAACCTGTCTGCCTCGCAACGGTTGTCGGTCGCCCGGGGCCGAACGTCGGAACCCGATCCAGCGCAACACGGGGTAGGGAAAAGTTTTTCTTCTTCTATGATGCTACCCTAGGTATACCTACTGACTAGCGGTTCTTCTGTTGGTTCTCTCGCTTATGTGACATGTCGTTCGCCTCTTTCTTTCAAACGTTTCGCGTAGTAATGATTGAATGCATGGCTGCATAGTTGCATTCAATTCACCTAACTTACCACACCTTGTTGTCCAAACGCAGCCGCCACTACCCCCACCCTTTCCCTCCCACTCCTGTGACCAGTCTACTCTAGCCGAGATCGACTAGGCAAAGATCGGAAGGAGGGACTGGAAATCACAAGTCGGTTCGTTCAGCCGCTCCGCAACCGGGCGGCTCGTCGGCGGCATCTTGGATGTTGATAATAGTCCATGTCCATTCCAAACCTTGATACTGTCCTACAAGAAACGGACTATTCCCATCACCGTCACAACAACCTTATTTCGGCGACACTCCTTTATGGTCCACTCACTCCAAGAGGGCGCAATTAGCAAAAAAAGGAAAGGGTGTGGGAAGAAAAAAGAAAGTCGATACAGAGGGGGGAAACGACAGAGGCAGAGTATACACAGACGGGCGGGAAGGAAAGGATCACGAGACGTCGGGAAAAACAAAAGAAAGAAAGAAAGACGGAATGGTTCCTGAGAAGAAAGCAGAAACTCTCGAGGCAGACAGAACGAGACATAATACGAATTCCCGCCCTCACTTCTTTTCCATCCCCTCATGGACCCGGAAAAGGACACCCACCGCACGGGCGGTTACCTCACCCCGGAGCCCGACTACGTCAGCTGCGACTTCCCGCTCCCGAGCAAGACCGAGAGCGCGGCCCACGACGGCGCCGCCGCCGCCCTGGGCAACGACCTGATCCCCTCCGTTTCCAATGCCGTCGCCAGCGCCGGCGGCGACGTCTACGGCCAGGACCCCCGCCAGCAGCAGGGCTACGGCAGCAAGGAGGGCGATGACTATCTTGGCCGCATCGACACAGCCGCCGAGGACGAGGCGTACCCCGAGGGCGGGCTCCGCGCGTGGTCCGTCGCGTTCGGGTCGTGGCTCGCGCTGTTCTCGGCGCTGGGCATCATGAACAGCCTGGCCATCTTCCAGACGTACGTCGCAACGCACCAGCTCAAGGGGTACAGTGAGGGCACCATCGGCTGGATCTTCTCCGTGTACAACTTCTTGTGCTTCTTCGGCGGCATCTATATCGGTCCCGTGTTTGACCGGTATGGCCCGCGGTGGCTTATCTTGTCCGGCACGGTATGTCTTGTGGTCGGCGTCATGCTGCTGAGTATCTGCACATGTAAGTCGTTTTCGTGCCCTCCCCCCCCCCCCCCCGCCTGCTTCCTCCGTGGCAGTGACTCACAATCCCCCAGTATACTGGCACTTCATGCTCGCCTTCGGCATCCTCTGCGGCCTCGGCAGCTCCCTCGTCTTCACTCCCTCGATCGCCGCCGTCGGCCACTGGTTCAAGCTTCGCCGCGGGTTCGCGATAGGCATGGCCTCCACGGGTGGCTCCATCGGTGGCATCGTCTTCCCGCTCATGATGCAGTCGCTCTTTCCGCGCATCGGCTGGGGCTGGACCATTCGCGCCGTCGGCTTCATCTGTCTGCTTCTCTGCGGCGCCTCCAACTTTCTCATCCGCTCCCGCCTGCCGCCCGCGCGCAACGCGAGCCCTCACCCGGATCCGCGCATCTTCCGCAGCACCGCCTTCAGCCTCACGACGGCGAGCATCTTCCTCATGGAGTTCGCGCTGTTCATTCCCCTGACGTATATCTCAAGCTATATGCTCAGCGAGGGGTTCAGCGAGTCCTTTGCCTTCTCCATCCTGCCCATCCTCAACGCCGGCAGCGTCGTCGGCAGGGCGCTGCCCGGCTGGTGGGCGGACAAGGTGGGCCCCTTCAACAGCAACATGGCTGCCATCGTGCTTGCCATCATCGCGTGTTTCGCTGTCTGGCTGCCCTTGGGCTCGACCACGCCGGGCGTCGTGGTGTTCGCCGTGCTTTTCGGGTTCGCGACCGGAAACAACATTAGCATTAGTCCCGTGTGCGTTGGCAGGTTGTGCAAAACGCAGCACTACGGGCGGTACTACTCGACGACTTACACCGTGGTGTCAATTGCGTGCCTTGTTGGAATTCCTGTGGGCGGCGAAATCGTTTCAGCGAGCGGCGGAAGGTACTGGGGCGTCATCCTCTTCACCGGCCTTACGTACGTCCTGGCCCTTGTGGCGCTGATGGCTGCCAAGATTGTCTGCGTGGGGAAGGACATTTGGGGAATCTTCTAGGGGAAAGACAGAGAGAGAAAATAAGTTACCGTTGATCCGCTTACAGTTTGAACCAGATGTCACGAAAGACTGTAAATACACACGAATAATGTTGTACATAGACCCAAGACTGTCAGCAAACCTACATAGTTGCAACCGAATCTTTACAATACTATCATTTTACACAAATATGGACTGTCCGCCTTGTCGCATCACCGTTGAAGACGGCAGGTTGAAACCTGGCTGATGGGCTATCGGTGCCGAGTGAATGACCGCACGCCGATGAGGAAGTTGTTGTGTAAGAAATGTGCACTGCCGCATAGGCGATGGGGCCGCCGACGGGACGTCGTCGCGAAGCCCCGAAGCAAGTACGTTCCCAGAAATCCGCAGCAGATTCCATCCCGGAGGTGCGGGTCGGTGGTGCACGGGCCTCCTTCCGGCCGTGCGGAGGAACCGCACCGGCGATGGAAACGACGGATTAAAACCCTCGTCACTTTCTTCACCCCCCTTACTTCTCAAGCTATCTCTATTCGATCGGCTCGCTTGTCCCATTTTTGAGCTGAAGGAGATACTGCAAAAGCAGTCGCACTGTACACACTCTCAAATCTGCTGTTTCCGTGCCTCAAAGACATCATAAACACAAGGTGAGTGGCATGTAAGACACGTCATATAAGATTATTCCGGAGGGAAGAGGTTGTGCTGGGTCAGGCCATGGAGTCGCGCTGCTGACACGGCTTACACTCTTAACGACATCGAGGGGCTGTTGAGCAATCGGAGATACCTTCGACGTGTGTGTTTGCGTATCAGTTCCCTGACGAGCCCGCAGATCTTACTCGTACAACCAATCTCACCCCATCCTCCCTGGCATTGATACCAAGCACGTTCTTGCATATAGATAGAAGCATCCACTCCTATCTCCAACTACCTCTTCTTTACCAGGCCAAGATGTCAGCCCCTAATGAAACCGAGCGCCAAGAAGACGCCTATTTCTCATCGCAACCTCCCCCCAAGAACCTCGAGTCCCATGTCGCCGCCGCCCGCTCCTTCATAGACCACCACGCGGCCTCCTCGCGGCGCATCGTCCTCCTCACCTCGGGCGGCACGACTGTGCCTCTCGAGAAGCAGACGGTCCGCTTCATCGACAACTTCTCCGCAGGAACCCGCGGCGCCACCTCGGCCGAGTACTTCCTCGAGGCCGGCTACGCCGTCATCTTTCTGCACCGCCAGTTCTCCCTGCAGCCCTACTCGCGCCACTACTCCCACGCCACCGACTGCTTCCTCGACTTCCTGGCCGAGGGCGACGACGGTACCGTCGTCGCCAACCCAGGCCACCAGGAGCGCATGCGCGCCGTGCTGCGCAAGTACACGGCCGCCAAACGCAACAACATGCTGCTGATGCTGCCGTTCACGACAATCACCGACTACCTCTTTGAGCTGCGTGCCATCGCCGGACTTCTGAGGCCCCTGGGCCCCTCGGCGCTGCTCTACCTCGCTGCCGCCGTCTCGGACTTCTTCCTCCCTCAGGACCGCATGGCCGAGCACAAGATCCAGTCCACCAACGCCACCGAATCGTTCGGTTCGGGGGGCGCAGCAGCGCCTGTCAAGGACAACAGCAACAGCAATGGTAACGGCAACGGCAACGGCAACGGAAACCGAAACGGTGCCAGCCCGGAAGACGAGGAGACCTTCGACAACTTTGACTCCTCTCCCAAGGTCCCCCGCTCCAAGCGCCTGATAGTGGACCTCGACCCCGTGCCCAAGTTCCTCCAGAATCTCGTCGACGGCTGGGCGCCGCAGGGCATGGTCGTCAGCTTCAAGCTCGAGACGGACCCGTCCATCCTTGTGCACAAGGCCAAGTACTCGCTCGAGCGGTACCAGCACCACCTCGTCATCGGCAACCTGTTGTCCACGCGCAAGTGGGAGGTCGTGTTCGTCGCCCCGGGACAGGCCGACCGGTGGGTCCGCGTGCCGAGCGCCCAGCGCAAGTGCCCTGCCGGCGACGGTTCCGAGGCGTGGGAGGACAAGCCGCTTGACCCGAGCGCGCTGCCGGAGGGCGACCCGGAGGTGGAGATCGAGAGCTTGATCATTCCCGCTGTGCAGGATTTGCATTCGCAGCACATTCAGTCGCTGCAAAAGTGACATTTCAGTTGAACGGGAGACGTTGTGTTTTTGACAGACTTTGGCGAGCGTCACGTAGCTAACGGCATAGCGCGCATACACGGTAATAAAAGGGTTCGGATACATCTGTTTTATCTTTCCAAGGGCCTCCAAACCGTTCGCTGTGCGATGCAATGACATGAAACATGCACCTTCTTTTTTATCCACAATCCGCGCATCCTTTATTTGGAAGGCGACAGGCGCCACGCCCTCATGGGAAGCGACTGCAGATGCAAGACTCTAGGGCGAATGTAAAGCATAAATGTGACGACGCCGAAAATGACGCAGATGATGTTGACAAGGTAGTATCCGTCGCGCACCATATCGCAAGTACCACCGCCGGCAATGCACTTCTCCTTGTCTGGTTGCAAGGAGCATGAGAAGGGCTCGGTGATGACTGAACCCTTGAGGGAGCTCAGATCCGCGGGTTTGCCGGGATGGCAGGTTGCGACGGTGAAGTAATCGACCAGACGCAGGACGAAGAAGCGCGGGAAGGTACCACCAAGGTTGCAGACACTGATGATATGTTAGCATAGGCACTGTAGCAGAGAGCAAAGTTGACTCACGTAGCCAGGAGAGTCATGTAGGTGCCGCCGATGACAGGGTCTGCGATTCTAGCGTGGAAAGCTGAGACGGCAACGAACATGACCGTGTTGGTGAAAGTCGAGAATACATGCTCGCCGATGACCATCAGCATGTACCAGGGGGTGACGCCGCCTGCCGGGAAAATGGTGACAGTTAACTGAGCGATGAGAGCAGCAACAAGACGCCCCACGAACCCCCAACACCAAAGACGCATAGGAGTGTACTCTTGCGACCACTTGCCGGCGTAGTATCCGAGCGCGATTTCGAAAGGGAAGTCGATGAGAACCGTTAAAGCCATGTTCTCCTGACCGAAACCCTTGTCGATAAGCTTGAGGTTCGTGACAGCATCGTTGGCCTGGAAACCGATCTTGGCAATGAGATGGACGACGATGATGGTCTGGATGTTCTTCAACTTGAGGACACCCCACATGATCTTATACACATCCCAGATGCCATCCTCGTTCTTGGTCTTCTCCTCGCGTTTGAAGAGAGACAGCCCGATGGTGATGGCAATGTAGGCCCAGCCCCAGAAAGTAAGATATCCACCAAGAGACATCAGTCCGTGGTCCAAAGGAGAGCTGCGGAAGTAGCGGTTCGCAAAGTCCTTGGAGTTGAATGCCAAGAAGACCGTGTAAGACAAGAAGTGACCGGCAGTGAGACCCACAGTCTGCGCGGTAGACGCGTAGGAAACGTTCCCGGGTGTCAGGAGGGTCAAGGCCCAGCCGTCCACAGCAATATCCTGGGTGGCGCACATGAAAACTAAGAAGAACCACCACCCAGTGAAGTTCCACACGGTAGGGCCGCCGGGCTTGCCGGTGTTGGCCATCATACTTTCCACAGTCGACCCGAGCCACAGCATACCCAGCCCGGAGAGCAGCTGGATGGGAAGAATCCAGCTCTTTCTGCGACCGACCTTGGGACTCCAGACTGCATCCACAATAGGACTCCAGAGGAGCTTCAAAGAGTACGGATATGAGGCCAGACTGAAAATTCCAATCTCGCTGTACGACATGTGGTCCTTCATAAGGAAAGGCACGGAGCCGCCCGCCAAACCCATGGGCACGCCCTGCAGAAAGTACAGAAGCACCAACAGCAGGAAGTTCCTCTGGTCTTGTACCGGAAGCTCGAAGAAGCCATGGTTATTGGCGATGGGGGTCTTGGGGACGGGATCGTCGAGGGTGAAGGATTCGCGCGAAATGAGGTTCGCGGTAACTGTGTCGGAGTCGGGAGCCGCGGCCTTGCGCCGGTATTCAACGTTATTCTGGTTCATCGTGCCGTTGGCGTGACCATTCGTGTCCGTATCTACAGCTAAATCGGCCAAAGCTTTTCGCTTCACAGATTTGTTCCGGCGTGTTCGGACGCTCATTTGGGGCTTGGGTTGCAATGGATGGCTGTTAAATTGAATGTTACGTCGCAGCTCTGTCTCCTAGCAGGAAATAAAAGATTCGGACGCCAGTAGCGGTGCTGAAAGTGTAGGAATAGGGATTGCGAGACTTTATGCGACAAGTTGGGTGTCGTGAGAAAGTCGAGTTTCTTTGTCCAGAGAGGGAGGACAAGATAAGGTAGACGGTGGGGTGGAGCAACGTCCGTGGGAGTCAAGGCGAAACTGTCTTAAACAAAAAAGCCTTAAACCAATGACAGGCAAAATGACACTAGGCAGCCGGGCGATCGAGAGCCTGGCTTCCTGTGCGGTTGTGCTGGTAGAAGGAAGGACGGGAGAAGAAGAAGAAGGAGAAGGAGGAGGACGGGTGGAAGCGCAACCGTGGCCTTTGGCACTTTTTAGGAAACGCCAGTGGCAAAGAGGGAATGAAATGTGACCGACTGGTAACTGCGGGGTCCAAAAGAAAATGACAGTAGGTAAGGAGGAGTAAGAATAAAGTCTGATGAGAGAAAAGAACCCGAGTCCAAAGTGGACCGAAACAATGCGGATTTTACCGAAGCACCTCAAGATAAGAGTGTTTCTTGAATGCGACGATGCTTCGAAGGCAAAGGACAAACGGAGAAGATGCAGAGAAGCTTACCCAGGCCCAGCCGTGCTCCACTGTAGGAAAGCCACCCGGAAATGCTGCCTGGGACCCCTGGCGCCATGCCTCGTTTGGATGACCGAGAGGCGATAAGATAAAAGATTAGATAAGCTTCCCCACGAGGCAAGCGTCGCATTTGGATTGTGACTGGGTCCAGCTGTGTTTACGTTGCGCTTCTTGAGTAAACCAGTGTCAACTACTTCACCAAGACGCGTCAACCCCGTCGAGCACCCGGATCACGACATCGCAGGCTACGACAATCATTTAGTTTCCACCACATCACTGCGGCTTTACTTCCGAGTCTCACACTGGATGCGCCATGTCAACAGAACCGCAGGATGCTGCCGCCGAGGCCCTCACCCAAGAGATCAATGACCTCCGAGCCAAAGGTAGGTGATCAAGCCACTCAGACTCCACGCAGTTGCTGACTGTTGTTGCGGCTAGCTGCCTCTTTGAAAAAGGAGTTGAAAGTACAAGCCACAGCTCTCCTCTCCTCCGAGTCGACGCGGGCCATCCTGCAAGACGACAAGCAGAAACGCAGTACCCTCCCGCTTCCCTCCGAGCCGAGCCCGGCCCGCGACCAAGTCCTCTCCCGATCCAAGGCCCAAGATGCACACGATCAGCAATGTCTCTACCGAGCCTGCGCGACAGTCACGACCTTCAAGGTCCGAGATCCCGATCCCAATGCCGTTGATCGTGGTCACGTCCTTGGCATTCGCATCGAAATCATGTCAGACGCCAAGTTCCGCAGGCCATACTATGTCGTGCTCAACCGGCCATACAAGGAGTCCCGACACCTGCGAGTCCACCGACACACCATACCTCCGTGTATTCCACTAGCAGCCCTTGCTGCACGTCATCTCCCAGCACCAAAACCGGCCGATGACGAAGAACAGAAACCTCAGGACTTGTCTCGTTTTGTCCGGACATTAAGAAGGGAGATTGTGAGGTTCCACAACCGCACCGCCGTTATCGGTGATTTGCAGAAGGCAGCTGGTCTACGTGGCAGCGGCAATACAGATGAAGACTCGGAGCGGGCGGTCACCAGTATCACAGCCGCTGATATCGAAGCCAAGCAGATCAGCATCGAATGGGCCGATGGCAGAGCGGGCAGGCTGGTCATGAGCGAGGATGGGCAGATACAAAAGCTTGTTGTGCTTGGTTCAGAAGGACGTGATCGAGGAGTCACGAGAGACCTTCTTGGCGACAGCCATCGTGTGGAGGATGTTGCACAGCGGTTGGCGAGCACTTGAGGCGGTGATGGAAGCAGAGATGACAGGTTCTGATGTCTGCCGTTCAGGTCGCAATCCAAACGACGTACACCTGGCTTCTAATCCAACGGGTCGTCCGCAGGGTCGTGGTATTGCCCGATGGCTACCTCTGTGAGGGAAACCAGGGGCGTTCCCAAGTCACATCATATCGACTGGAAACTCGATGCACCCGGATCCTGGTGAAAAGGACCCACCTCGAGACAGTTGTCGACCCTACTCCAACAACTCCGGCCTCTCAGAATGGTTCTATGAGTCGAGTTCTCATGGCAGCAACCGGTCCCAAACTCTCGAAACTTCCCGCCGCCGCAAGTTTTGCATATGCCAGATGAGGTTGTGCTCTCGGGTCCCAGCACCAGATATCGTTACCCAAGGCCTTCCGGCTCGTATATGGAGAGATCAGGGGCATCCGCAACTTTGCCTAAAGGCAAAAACAAAAGGCGCACATTGCACTCAATCTACACATCATGCGACAGGAACCCAATTTAGTCACTCGATTGCAGTGGCCCACAATCAGAATGGCTTAAAAAAAGGTTAGGAGCGATCGATCCGCCCTAGGGGTTCCACATAAACTGTACTCCTGCCATTGATCCTCAGTCGTTGACATACGGCACAATCACGCCGTGCTTGAACCCACTACGCCAAAGGCAATCGGTAAACATGTTCGCGGGGCCAGGCACAGTGATATCGCGTCTGAAGCCAGCTCATTGAAGAAGGCAGTCACATGTGGATGAGGAATCACAGGGTTTGTTTCGAGACCACGGGTTGACAAGTGCAAACAAAGTATTCAAAATGTTGAAGAAAAAGAAAAAAACACATAACCCGCTGTATTAGCTTTAACTAATAAAGTAGGCTTTCCTGGACTCCAAAGTTATATTCCCCCTTCGCCCAAGTTTGCGAAGCCCGAGGAACCTTCCCTACGCCGTCCGAACGAAGTCCCGCAATCGTTTATTGAAACCCAGTCATTACCATAAATCGATGTTATATCCACAAGCCATTGTCGTGATGTACCTCTGTTCTGCCCGAAAACTTGTCACTGGGCTTCGTTCCAGTGACACGTGAAAAGCAAAAGACAAACGAGTCTGCAATCGCCGGGAGTGCTCTCAGATGAAGGCAGCGACAGCCACGACGGCGGCGACGACGGCACCGCCCGCGCGCTGGGCGTTCTGAACAGCGCCGGCAGTGACAATGGCTTGGCTAGTGGCCGCGGTGGCGTTGGGCCTGGTGATGGTGCCGATAGTGCCGATGTCGGGCATGGTGGTCGTGGCGGCAGGGGGGGCAACAGGCGGGTTCGACGGCACCGGAGGGACATCGGGAGGGCTGGGAGGGGAAGATGGGTTGGAGATGGGCACCGCAGGCGGCGCCGGAGGAGTGACTGGCTCTGCAGATGGCGCAGGCGGTGCTGGAGGAGTGACTGGCTCTGCAGACGGCGCAGGCGGTGCTGGAGGAGTGACTGGCTCTGCAGACGGCGCAGGCGGTGCTGGAGGAGCAACTGGCACTACAGGTGGCGCCGGAGGAGCAGCAGGCACCGTCGTCGGAGCGGGGACTGGCACGACGGGGACAGGGCAGATCGTTGTGACGGCAGAGACGGTGACAGTCGTGTAGTGGACGCCGCCACCGTTGGCAGGGCAGTTGGTAACGGTGGGTGCACAGCTGATGACGGTGGAGAAGGAAGTTTGGGTGATGGTCGAGGTCGTCCATTTCCAGGAGGTCGGCGCAGGCTGTTCTGGCTGACTCATATACTTGGGCTTGTCGTGATAAGGCTTGTCGCACTTGTCACAAGGCTGGTCAGGCATGTCCATACCGGGCATGTCTTCACCGGGCTTGTCGCACTTGTCGCACGGCTGATCAGGCATGTCCATACCTGGCGTGTTCATACCAGGCGTGTTCATACCGGGCGTGTCCATACCGGGCATGTCTTTACCAGGCTTGTCGCACTTGTCGCACGGCTGATCAGGCATGTCCATACCGGGCGTGTTCATACCGGGCATGTCTTTACCAGGCTTGTCGCACTTATCGCACGGTTGATCAGGCTGCTCAGGCATGTCAGGCATGTCAGACATGTCCTTGCCAGGCTTGTTGCATTTGTCGCAAGGCTGATCAGGCATGTTCATACCGGTCGTGTTCATACCGGGCGTGTTCATATCGGGCGTGTTCATACCGGGCATGTCTTTACCAGGCTTGTCGCATTTGTCGCACGACTGATCAGGCTGATCACTGTCCTTGGGCTTGCCCGGGTGGACCCAGTGCCAGCCGGGTTCCTTGTCGTTGTCACAGTCATCAATGTAGACGTTGGGGTGTGGCGGGTGCCAGACGGAGATGCAGTCTGATGGCGGGGCCTTTGAGGGGCCGAAGGTCTTGATGCTGAAGTCGGCATCGCCGCTGGCCATGCCTAGGGGCTCGATGCCGGGAGGATAGCTGAAATTGCCGTCCCATGTTGCGGAGATGACGGCCGTGAGGCCGAGGATTGCGATGGCGGAGCAACGCATTGCGTGTTGGTGGTGGCGCTCTCTCGAATAAGTGAAAGAATGTGATGAGTTGGGATGGAAATGAGGGGATATAGAGAGCGTTGAACGGGGTCCAAGGTATTAGCGAATGTGAGGGTATCAGAGATACTGAAGAACAGACAGAACGAGGAGAGACATGGCCCGGATGACGGCTGCCCTTTTCAACCTTTTCCATGGCCTAAAGCCACACAGGGGGGGGGGGGCATTGTGACGATAGGGACCAGGGTAGGCTCGCTAGACCCAAACACCCGAATAGGCTTGCGGAGTTTCTCGTCGAATCGCCGTACTGACTTAGCCTCATGCCATCGTGTCTCCGAGAAAAGCCCTCTCCTGGCCTATGAGCTTAGATGAATAACACGCCAGCACGGGGGGTACGTCGCCCCATCGAACGCCCCCATGACCGTGTATGTGTAATTCGTCCATGGGTTTTTGTCGATCAGGGGCGTGATCGCTTGAATGACCTAGCTCGGATGAAGTTTGACCAAAATTACCTAGGGTCAGATTCGGACGACAGGTGCAGGTATAACAGAGGCAAAGCCGGGGGGCACCCATGTCTCTGATCTCTTTGGGGAAGGAAGAAGAGAGGCATTGAAGGCTGACAGGGTTTTGAGATGGGTAACTTGTAGATGGGCTGCGGGCACCGTCCAGCTTGGAACGTTCTGATACAGGAACGAAGCAGTTGAGATCACCGTCCATCCCTGTGCAGAGCAGAAGCTCCAGATCTTCGTCCAAGGAGCACAGGGGGGAGGGCTAAAGCCAGATACGGGAAAGAGGGGAGGGCCTTGACAATGTCACCACCTCCGACAACAAGGAGGCGCGCCTCCCGACTCGAACACGTTCAACAGCGGGGACCCCTGTAAAATCCAGCGCTAATGGTGCTGAGCTTAAAGAGACATCCACCATGGGATAGGCTGGCCCTTCCAATGGTGAAGCAGCACAGCCGCACTCTTGAAACACCATGGGTCAACCCCCCCATGAGCACGCTTAACTACTGAGGTCAAGCGCCAGGCACGCACAAGTTGGATGCAACCTTTACTATAGCGAACTCCGATGTCCTATGGAGCCATGTGTTCGCTCACTGGGCCGTGGTATTTGCGTACACCATAGCATGATGTTAATGACGAAATGAGACGGGATCGGAGGTGTTCCTCTCTTCGCGGTGGAATTCTTGCATCTATAGCCGAAGTTTGGCAGTGGACCGACTTTTGCGCTTTGTGCACTTAACACCTGAGCTCCATGACCTAAAATACCCATGGCGGTGATGGCTGGCCAGCTTTTTGCCATGTTCTCTCCATGCAGTTCCCTTCTTTATGCAGTGGGCTCGCTGAGGGGCAATCGATTTTGAACTGAACGGGCAGAGACATGACTTGTTCCTGCATGAGGTTGCCGGACCCCCCTGTTACTACGAAACTGCTTCGCTTCCCCGTTCATACCCAGATAGGCTAAACGACGGCAGAACAGTTCCGAGACAGAACTCTATCCTGGATCCCCTGCTGTGCCATGATGCAAGCAAGCCGCACGGCAGGCGTCGAACTCGCGGCTTGGCTTCGATCCCAAGCCTCTCAGCAGCCACAGCCCATCTACACAGACGGCGCAATCCTGTGAGGGAACCGGACCCAAGTCCGATATACTCTGCTCTAGGAACGAAGGATTCCCCGATTTTCCTGGAAACTCATAGAGCTCGAGCGATAACACTTCGGCATATCAACGCAATTTACGGATACTCTGCAAGCACATCGAGTAAGCATATAGTGTCCCCATTCGGCATAGCCTAGCGGCACGGTAACTCACTGGATACCAACAATGGCCCGGGCATGCCCATGATGTCAAGCCCGCGGCACTGTCGACGAGGGTTGGCTTGCCGAGTGGCCAGCTCGTTCCGAAACCTTCAGTCGTAAAAACAAAAGGTGTGATAAACAGCTTGGTCGTTTCGAGGACCTCACCAGTCCAGAGGTTTCTTCGTCTGTGGCACGGCGGAGCTTGGAGCCCGCTCCGGGCTAGGCTGCCTCTGATGCTCCTGCACATCGCCGATAGCATTAAGGACGATACCCCACCGCTCGACCTCGGCGTCTGCGACCTTTGTCCATTTCTGGATGAGCGGATGGGCGCGGGCCACGTCGGAGAAGAGGATCTCCTCGCCCACGTGCTCGTCGACGTCGAACTTCCAGGTCCCGTCGGTATTCCAGAAGGCGGGTGTGAAGATGGAGTCCGTCCTCAGCTCCGTCTTGGCGTCGTCCGAGGCCTTGCGCGCGGCCTTCACGACGGCCTCGTCCTGGCCGACCAAGGCGGCGGCAATGCCCTCCAGAATGCCGACAATCTGGCCGGCGAGCGACCCGAGCTCGGCTCCCAGACTGAAGCCCTCGTCGAACCCCACCTGGATGCTCTGGGCTTTGGCCACAGTGACTCCCTCGCGGTACCCAGCGGTGGTGTGTTCCGCCTGCAGTCTCGGGATGTCGCCAGGGTGTGTCCCTGTGGGCGCATGTTGGGGCACATTGGTTGGCGAGCCCGGCTCCGAACCCCAGACGTCGTCGAAGATCTCTTGCGCCTCGGGCACGACAGTGAGGCGGGGGTCGGTAGCCATGGCGCTGGTAAAGGGCTCAATCTCCGTATTGTCAATGGGCTGAATATGCATGATAAATGGCGGTGTGTTCTTCCCACGGATAATGCGCACCGCGATCTTGCGAGGGACAATCTCTTGGTGGCGGTTAGTTTCGCAAGTGGTGGTTGATGAGTCTGAATGGCGAACTTGGTGAAAAATCGGAAGACGATTTCCAAGCAACTCCCCGCACGTCCTCTCGCCATGCGCACTGTATGAAATGCGTGCTTCAAGCTCTACCCTGTACTGTTTATAGATATTCGCGCACAGTCCCCTCAGCATTTATTCGGCCCGTCGTCGTCGTCGTCCCACGGCTTGCGGTGTCGACTTTGGAAGATCCAGCTCTCTGCGTTTACTGTTGTCAAGAACGGCATTAGACGAAACTACATTGGACTGCTTTATTCATTTTTTATGCATGCTCTAAGGCTAGTCTATTGTTCCTCTATCAATCATATGCTCTACTCATTTTGCTCGGCCTGTCACAGTAACATCGAGGTCGCTACGTCAACTTTAAAGTCAAGTGGTATTTAAAGTCGGATATTCTAAGTCGCTCAAAAACAAAAAGCTTTCTTCCATCCTGCCTGCGGCGCCATCCGTCGGTCTCACGCCGTGTCCAGAATGACCACCTCAGCCTCGGCCTCGCCGACGCTCTCGACGTTCAGCTTGTCCCCGGCGTTGACGGCGTCGACGAACGCGCCGTCTCCCTCGGACAAGACGGCGTCATCGCGGCCGTCGATCTTGACCTTTGCCTTGCCGCCCTTGGTCGCCGGAAGGTGAACAAAAACCTTGCGCTTCGTCTGCTCTGTAACCTTCGCGCCGACGTTCCACTCAAAGACCTTGCCGGGCTCAATGATGCCCGCGCCCATGACGAAGTCGGCGTGGATCGGGATGGTGTCCGGGATCGCCGGCTCCGCGGCCTTCTCCTCGGCCGCCGTGGCGTCAGGCCCGGCCTTGAGAGGGGAGAGAATCTTGACGAAGCCCTTGCGCTTGTCGTCCTCGGAAAAGTGCCGCGTGTGGTAGGTAGGCGGCAGACCGCGCTTCCATGGGATGGCCCAGATCTGGAGGAAGTGCACCGTATCCTTGTTGTGCTCGTTCATCTCCGAGTGTGCGATGCCTGTGCCGCCGGTGGTGAACTGGACGTCACCGCGGTGCATGCGGTAAAACTTGTCACTCTGGCCGCCCTCGGCACCCTTCTGCAGCATGGAGTCGCGGTGCGTCAGCTCGCCCGAGAGTATGTAGCTGAAGATCTCAAAGTCGCGGTGGGGGTGCGTGGGGAAGCCTGAGTTGGCCTTGACACGGTCCTCGTTGAGCACGCGGAGCGCGCCAAAGTTGTTGAAGCGCGGGTCGTACCAGTTGGCAAACGAGAAGCTGTGGTAGGTGTTGAGCCAGCCGTGGTCTGCATGACCGCGAGCGCTGCTCCGGTGCGGCGTGATCTTTGCGTGGTGGAGAGTCTTGGACATTGTGTTCTTGAGCATCGGAGGCGCAGACGAGTCTGGTACTATGGCTGGAATTGCAGTGGTTGTGGTGGTTGTAGTTGTTGTGTTGGTGCTGGTAAGTGAAGAGGTGATGTCTGCGAAGAAGCTCTTTAACTGTGTGTTGAAGATGATGATGGAAACGAAGACAGCGATGATCGCAGTGAAGGTTGTGATACGAGACATATATACTTGAGACTTGGGGCTTCTCGCACGATGAAGAAGAGCTAGTATAATCGAGAATCAGCGTGAATCTGGTCTGGGAATGTTGTTCAGCATTTGCAATTCCCTCTAAAAGCTTATATGTTGTTATGTCCCGACGCTGCAGACTACTGTAAGGGTCTTACACATACCCCCCCGGTGAAGCTGTCTAAGCGGTTACCTAAGGGGGGGGGCGTCGCCGCAGGTGATGACTGGCTGGATTTTTCAACAACTGCGCTGCTCTCGAACTGGATTATTCATGCTGACAGGCACTTTGTGGGAACGCTTGCCCCACGTGCTCGGTGGCACAGACAGGGTGGGCGCCTGTGACGTAATGCTCTAGCCCGGGAGCCGGCACATGTTCGGCCGTGGATCGCAAGCCAAGCAAATTCCAACTACACCCAACTGGGCTGCTATTTCACATGATACTCAGGTTGACGATTCCTCAACAACGAGTTATACTGTTGGTTTTCTTCAACAGGGGAGGCTCCAGAGACACCTAGACAGTGGTAGATGACGCGGTTTTTGCATCCGTGTCCTCTGAAGCTCATGGATTACAGCAAACTGTCCGTTCTCCTTCCGAATCTAGCATGCCTCGGCAGTCCAGCCGAATCAACCGCTTGAATGGTACAAGACATCTCTCGGACGCAAAGCACCTTGGACTTAGTATGGTTTTTCTGTTACCGTAGATGAGTGCCGCAAGAGAGACAACCTTCTTCAACAATCAAATGAAAAATCGTTCAATAATCAAATGAAAACTCGAGTTCCATTAGTGCCGGGGTTGTCAGAAAAGCTGCTCCCTACATGATGATGGCCAAGCCTTACATAAGGCATCTCGCAAGCAGTCCATGACCTAGAAATACCCAGACTCTCTGGACTATTTAGTATGCTCTACTTCGACGCATTGATATACAAGAAGGAGCAGAAGCTGAATGACATTACCGGCTCGGCGCGTGAAGTTACAGCAGTCGTCGCAACAAGGTCGACCCTTCAGGATCATGCTTCTCCAAGAAAAGATCAAAGGTTTCATACGTCGTTCTCATCTCAATCCTAATCTATCGTGTTGACTCCTCGCTGTCCTCTCCTCGTCTTAAGCCTTCCCACCTCTTTGCATAGAATACTATGCCCGTCGACGGAAACCCACAACCAATCGCCTCTCTGTATGGTAAGCATGGTGCCTTTTAACGACTCTCTGGTCCTCCCGATGTTGCTGCAGTTTACAAACCAACAATATCGCAGAGCCAAATCACTGTAGGTTTCTAGTCCTCGCCGCCGGCTCAAATACCGGCGTCCTCTTTGCGAACTTGACTACCCCTGGCGGCTGGAGGGGAGGGGGGGCAGATGTACCTCCAAGCCAAACAAACAGCAAGAGTTTTCCGCCTGTTCAGGGTTGACGACGAGTGTGAGGGTTATCTTGTACCCACCTTACCGTATGCAAGTTAGGAATACAGTTCAGGAGGCTTCGTTGTGAAGCGTCCCTTGCAGTTTCCTTGTAGACAATCCGGTTGATCTTGCGGTTTGCGTCTCTGTTGTAGGCGTTTTGTACAACTCACAGATTCCTCGGAATCGGCCGCATTGCTTGCTTTTGCTCTCCTGGAGGGTGACGCTGCGGGTTCGGCTGCCCTTGACGCGTGACGCGGGACATGCTGCGAGGCCAGCAGGTGCGGTAAAACGATGATTGGGCCAGCCAGAGGAACGAAGCAGACTGTTCCAGATATCCAGCGGTAGCTACACCGTGGATCTTTACAAAGCATGTTCCTCGACTTGCCCGCAAGCCACTTGTACTTATCAAAACACTCCTGTTCTGAACTGCTGTACCGATTCACATAGTTCGCCCACAGAGCCGTGGTAAGGCCGCATGTAGTATTTCGTATACATTTGCGCGGACCCGAAGATTCTCCCCGTCACATCAACCAATGAACGACATCATTTGGTTTGTGATGGCAGACACTGAATCGCGACGGGTCCCCAATATAATGAAGAACCAACCCACTCGAGAGTGAAGGAGTGGACTTCGGCGGTGCCACGGCAAAGTTCGATAAGCGAACATAACATCGACCACCGAACCCGCGATGGGTGGCGTAGGGTTGCATTGCGCACAGCCAACACGATGCTTGCATGCCAGAGACGGAGACGAGCCGGGGGACCAGGAGAGTAGACTTTGTCCGCACCGGCCGCTGCCTAGCTTGGCTTTCCCGAGTCGCAAGACTTGCTTCGTAGCTCAACGAAGGCTTCTCTACTGAGGCTGAATCGTGCTGCGTAGTGCTGGGCTTGCTGTTTACGATCGACAGAACCCATTCTTTACAACAGATATGGAAAGGAGCCGAGAGATTCCTTTCTATTCATTGTTTCATTATGTACAACCTACCATACCGTTCCCTAAGCCTTCTGAACATTTCCAATTGCCTCCGTGGTCGAGGATTGAGGAGTATATTTTCTTGCTAGGAAGACTGACACCTCGCCTGTCTTTTGCGAGCGGCACGCGGCCGAAGACCAATGGCCAACACCAGTCGGCAGATGCCCTCTGTCCATCTTGATTAGTGATGTTCCGTCAAGGGACTATAACAAACCGCCACCATGTGGCTAATATTCGGCATCGTGTGATCTCCGTAGAATAAAACACCGCATAAGAGCAGATGTGCTCCAGTTTGGAGGAGATAGCCATCCATTACCTCCACTGTTCTATTTGGATATGCCTCCCAGCGCCTGGCCCTAAAACCATGCTCACCCTTTCCATCAGTAACTTGCAAATTCTGGGCATTCTTGCGCGTCGGTAGTTGTATGTCGAGTGGCTTCAACTGTTCGGCCTGGGTTGTTGCCGTATAGAAGTTTGTCACCGGAGCGTACTCCAAGACAATGCGAGTTGAACCCGATGGCTCATGTCACCATGAATGATATGCAACTTTCGGTTCGGTATCGACATGTGTCTGGAACAAAGCAGTCCGCAAGGAGCATGCGGTCATAGACCGAATGTCTTGATGGTTTTCCTGCTGACCCAAGGTCGAAGATCGAGCCAAGGGCAACGGAAACAGTTATTCGCCCCCCACGGGTTGCCTCCGGCAAAGCACCCTCGAACCGCAAACCGCCTTAGTCCTTTATGGGAGCCTAAATCTCTTGTCCAGGATACCAGCATATCCAGGCGGTTAGCAGTCCATCCGCAAGAGAGACTGCAAAGACCATAGTAAAAGGCCGGGCTTTCGCCGCCCTTGACGAAGGGGGCTAAGCTCGGCGATGGCGGTCGATGTGGATGTCCACTTTAGATAATGCGCCGACACTTATCAGGAGGTAGGCTTGAAGGAAAGGAGAAGCGATGAACGTCGAGATATCGGATCGGATCGTATCGGGCTAAAGCTTGCGAAATCG